TGCCCCCCCCCCCCCCCCCCCACGAATCTGTCCAGGATAAGTGGTGCTGAAAATGATTGAGGGACGAATGGATAATCTTGTCGATGGTCTTTATTTGAAGAAGAATCTGGGACCTGGCTGCTAAATATTTGATTGGCAACAGCGGCTTGACACACGTCAAGCCACGCTTCTCCATCACGTGACTGATTACTTCAAAACAAAACGCAGTAGCTCGCAAAATGAGTAAAAAAACTGCTGGAGATCGCAAATGACGGCGGCCTTAAAAGTACGTTCGAGACAACTGGATTAAAGTTATGGCTGAATACTCTGAGATCGCCACAATAGCACTGTTGCTATTTCCGACATCTTACCTGTGTGAGGCGGGGGGTTTCTGCAGCAACGGCGACGAAAACAAAATTACGAAGTAGACTGGACATAAACCACACACTTGAGGTGTCATTGTCTCCTTTTACCCCGAGATGGGACCGTCTGGTTGCAGAAAATCAAGCTCGGTGCTGTGGTGAGTCGTCATTTTCATGCACTTTGAATTTGCGTTGTATCGTATTTTGAAGGCATTAAACATTGCCATAGCGATCGGAGTGTTGCGGCCAGATTAGACGCTCCTTGTGTTTATTATTATATTTCAAAAACACCACAGTTTTCATGCAGCTCATACCATATTAATTTCTTGTATTATTTCCACCACACCTTAAATGCCGGTCCCTGAAAATATTGTCTGACATAAACCGGTCCGTGGGACAAAAAAGGTTGGGGGCCCCTGCTTTAAATAATGAATCAATTTTCGAAACAATTGGTCCAGCCTTGTACGTAAACTACGTTTCAAGCACTCGTCCTGAAAAATAATATGACACCAATTAGAATCACACAGAAGTCGGAAAGTGAGAACGCAATGCAAGTATAAGTAAGTATTATGCCTGCAGTTGTAACCAAACTAAAAAAAAGATTCCTCATCTGTTGCGGGTCGAGATTTGAACGAAGTAACCAATCAAAAGCCTGTCCAGGCGGAAACTGGACTTCTCTTGCTATTCTTGTCCAATCGGCGGGCGGCGCAATGTTTCCCGTGCTTTTTGAACTGAAACAGTATAGACTGGTTGTCATTTCCTCATACAGTATTTCTATGCGGTCAAGAAACTGCGGAACCACACGTCGACTAGGATTATTAAACGATGTTTAAGAGGATTGACAGGGGACTCTATTTTTAAAGAAGGGATGCTCCGGAATCAAAAGAAGATCTTGATTGCTTTGTGAAGCTTTTAGCTAAACAGCTAAATTAGCTTCAGAGTTTATCCGAGCTGGCTAAACGGTCAGCTTTGGGGAATTATTGTTTGAACAGAATCTTCACGACGGACCGGATTCCCAGTACGTAAATGAACGGAAATTTTGTTCAGTTTTGAAAGTATTTTTGTGTGTTGTACTAAAGGATGTGCAACCTAACGACGCATATTCGAAGCATGATAGCTTGAATTGAGGAAAGGGCGTATTGGTAATATGAAACAGTTTTTTTGTTCTGTATCGAGTAAAATGTCTTTTAATCCCTACTACAGGTCTAGGGCAATAACTGGTCTTGTTTGACGAAGTTTTGAGAAGTACAATACAAAACCTGTTGCCTGTCAATAGCGCTAATTGTATTCTGCAGTCCAATGCTCGACAAGAGAATGAATGTATTTTGTGTGTACGGCAGCGACGGTATAAACAACAACTCAACAAAAATTCGATGTCACTGTGTTCATTCCTAGGGGTTTCAAATTTAACACAATTTATTGCTGGACTGCGGCATTACATCGTTGAGCAAGTCATGTCAAGGTTCAAAGTTCCCCCCCAATGTTTTTTTTTTTTTTTCAGTTGCTGCCCGTCATTTTAATTCTGTCTCATTCTTGATGCCCCTATAGCCTTGAGATGGCTGACAATAGCAACGTAACTTTTGGGACAGCTCCAAGTCTTCTGGTGGATTCATCCGTATATGACTCAAGGATAGAAGAAACCGCCAAAGACGACATACTTCTCGGCATGGGAGGTGACGATGGAGAAGGTCAGTCTGCATTGTACAATGCGTGTATCATTTGTTCATTTGTTTTTTAAAACAAAACGTCAACTTAAAAAAACGATGTCTTTTGTCAAGAGTCGTTCCAAAAAATGGAAAAAAACGACAACTCATTTTCGAATGCAAAATATGAGATTTGGACGTTTCGTGTACTTCAGAAATGGTTTTATTCCGCAACCTGGGCTTTCACCGGACTTGCTGGAATGCCACAATTTTTTTTTAAATTAAGATGTGGGCATGAGTACACTTGAAATCATCCAAAAACAGCTTGCTGCATTTTAAGGCAATTTTCATGTGGTTTGTTTAGTTGCAAACGTCAGACACATGGCTACATAAAATGTGGGTGAGAATGTCTTTGTAGCAAAAATAAATCGTCACTATGAAGGAAATAGTCATGGTCAAGGTCATCTTTATTGTCAAATGTGCTTTATGTATGACATGCAGCATAGATGAAATTTCTTCCTCTCAATCCTCCTCAGTGCAAACATGCAAACATGCTGTG